TTGGTTCCCACCCCCAGCCCCTTACTAGTTTAAAGCCCCCCTTAGGACTACTAGCAAATCTCCCCACAAAGATATTAGTCCCCTTCCAATTCAGGTGGAACCCATCTCTCTTATACAGATCATTTCTTCCCCTGAAAAGATCCCAATGGTCCAAAAGGGTGAATCCTTGCCCCCTGCACCAGCTCCTCAGCCACCCATTCATCTGCTCAATCTTCTTATTCCTATTGTCACTAGCATGTGGCGTGGTAGTAGTCCAAATATTTCTACCCTCAAGGACCTACTTTTTAACCTCCTGCCTAGTTTCCTATATTCTCTCCGTAGAACCTCATCCCCTTCCCCACCTATGTCATCGGTACCAATGTGCACAACAACCTTCTACTGGTTACTCTCCCCTTTCAGAATGTTCTGCACCCACTCTGAGACATCCTTGACCCTGGCATCAGGGAGGCAACACACCATCCGGATGTCATGCTGACGGCCGCAGAAACGTCTGTCTATGCCCCAGACTAGACAGTCCCTTATTACAATTGATCGCTTGGAACCTGACATACCCCTCATTACAGTAATTGAAACGTACAAGATCCTGAGGGGACTTCACCAGGTGGATGTGGAAAAGATGATGTTTTCTCTTGTAGGAGGATCTAGAAAATAGTTCAAAAATATAAGGGTCATGATTTAAGACAAAGATGAGGATTTTTTTTCTCTCAGAAGGTAGAGTGTCTTTAGAATTCCCTTCCTCAAAAGATGCAGAATCTTTAAATATTTTTAAGGCAGAGGTATATAGATTCTTGATTCGCAAATGGATGAAGCAGTAGCTAGGGTATGTAGGAATGTAGAGTTGAGGTGAAAATCAGGTCAGCCTTTGACTTATTGAACAGTGGAGCAGGCTTTAAGAGTTGACTGACCGACTGTTGTTCCTTGTTCACATGTTCAAGCAGATGTTTTGAGAACGAAAGACACAGCGGAGGGTGTGTTCACAGCAAACTTTACCCAGTGACAGATAGGCTGATTGGGATTTCAATTAGCACCAATTGTGTGGGCCAAGAGTTATCAACATACCAATTCTCTGATTGGCTCTTGATCAGGTGGTCAGCTTGTATATGAATAATGGAGCGAGAAAGTCTCCAGATTGCAAGAGACAGCATCTCTCTTCTTCGCTCCTGTGAAGTAACCAAAATCTAAAAGATAGCTAGCTACTCCCACCATTTGCTAGAAGCTTTTGCCCCTAATCAATGACTGAACAATCAGGACTTAGAAGTCGCAAAAGGAATACTCCCATCAAATCCAGTAGACTGGTGCTATTGAACTGTGTTTCCCTAATATTTTTTCCTCTACCCATGACTTCTTTTTTCTTTGTTTGTCTGTCTGCATGCATGTGTGTAGATTTTAAGAAGAGGTCAGAGCAGTAGTATCCCCCCTTTTTAAGCACAATATCATTTTTTACATTTAAGTGTAACCCAGGATCTACCCCTAACTAATTACAGAATGAAGTTTATTTTTACTGCCATATAAATCTAAAAGCAAGTATCTGTCATCATTCACTCTGTCCTCTACTTACCAAGATTCAGTGTGACAGGTGTGAATACACATTATCTGCCAATGCCTTGAAATCTGGGTTGTGTAGTTTGAGACTGATAGTCACATACAGTCCATCAAATGGGTACCTGTGAGGCAGGTGTGATACTTGGACTTGATTATTTTCATTTGGGAAAATGCTGACTCACAAAGAGTGTGGAGCTAATGTAAGCTTTCACTTTAAAAGGAAAGGATGATAGGAGTGGGTATTTTTCTTTTTAGGAGTCCCCCAAAATCACTGTCTCTTGATCTGATGTTTGGTTCAATATCATTTTGTGTCACAATTTACATTGTAGTCAACCCGCTGATGTCTACACAACAGATTTGAGACAACTGTGATAATTTGTTCCACCACATCTAATTCATGAAATCACCTGCTGAATTATTCTAATTTCCTTGGGTGTGCAGAAAAAATTTCTCGGTGGAATCATTTTTTTTTGTCTTGACTTTTTTCCAGTATTTTCTCCAGACTCAGGAAATGTTGCAACATTTTGTTTTTAATTGTGAGGACCACAGACCCAGTGCCAACTTGAATGCATTTACAGTACTGATCATGTGTTAAGTCTCTGTCCTTGCCCTGCACTTCACAGTTCAGCTCGTTCAGTTTTGATGTCAAGTCTGTAAGGAACCCAAATTCAAGCAATCATGCACTGTCTGACAGCTTATTGCAGACTTCATTCCTGTATTTAGAAAAAGTGACAATTTCAAGAATCAAATTTGAAAATCTTTGCACGATGTTCCGTTGAGTCTACCACCTTACATCATCATAATAACAAAGAGGAACAGTAGGCAATTCAGCCCCTCGAGCCTGCTCCACCATTTGATAACGATCATGGAGGATTAGCTCACCATAGACTGCATCAAGTTCATCAAGTAAGATTTAAGCAAGCAATGCTGAAGGGTTCTTGCTTGAATTGAGTTTACGATACAGTGGTTGTTGACAAAAGAGGAGAAAATCAGGATCATTTCTGCAAAATGCAATAAAATCCACATTGCGCCAAACATGACTGGTACACCATCAGTTGTGATAGAAACCAGTTTCATGATTGGAATGTTTTTCCAAGCACATCCTTTCAGATTTGTTGTAGATATTCTCACTCCTTGTTCACCTTTTAAAGGGCAAAAGGGTGAGAAGATCCTCTTTAGTTGTTACACCCTTAAAAACCGGGTGCAAACAAACAGATCAGCTGGGCCATCAATTATGTCAATGAATTCATCAAACTGCAGTGAGAAGCTCAGTCCTTCAGGTTCTGCTGTAGTTGCTGCAGGTCATCTTCAAACAAAGATTCCACTCATCTTGCTACTATGGAAGCACTAAATGATGTGCTTTGGATTGCCATAATTATTTTCTGTTTGTTTTTCGCATCTTTGAGTAAAGACGCAGACCTGGTCAATGCTTTTTTTACTTACTTCACCACCTTTTAATGATTTCTTTTGTTTTGTCAGAAGACGGCAAATGCAAAATGATGCTTCACTGCAGGTCTTACATTTTGATATAACAAGGTGTAGAGGTGGATGAACACAGCAGGCCAAGCAGCATCAGAGGAGCAGGAAAGCTGACGTTTCTGGACCCTTCTTCAGAGCTTTTGATGCTGGTTTAGAAAAAATGACCATTGAGCTTTCAAAATATCTTCAGCTCATCAGCTTTTTGTCCTAAGCATACTGTTCAAGAGAAAACCATCTTTGAAATTACTGTGCATCATTGTGTGGCGCTGTTCCAAATTCCCTTTTGTGCTTTGTTAATACACAAGGCAAAAGCTCTTATTTTTTACTGTTGTGAACTGAAATTCATTTTCACATTTCACTTGGGAGGTGTACATTTTTGGTTTCTTTTTAAGTGGTCCAGGATCATCACACATCATTTTCACTAGCCAGGGATGTATATTTTAACTAAGATAAAAACAAAGGTAGCACTAGCTGTCAAAATCAGGGCCCAAGATGACCCACATGCTTGCACTTAAAAGTGGACCAATAATGACCTTTTTGATATTGATCTAGGAGGACGGTTAGTGCTGCTAGGATTAATATACATGTTTGTTCTCATCCTGACAGTTCATACCAAGGTGAGAACACACCTTGCATTAGAGCTGAGCACTACACATGACAAACAACCAAGTGGACACTCTTTTAAATCATTTAAAAGAAGATTTAAAACTGGCTGAACTTAAACATAAATTCTGCACTTGCAGCTCAATGTGAGATTTAAATGTGTATCTGGATGCTGCTTTCGCTTTCATTCGTTTCACAGTATGGTCCATGACATCACTTTGCCACAAATCATGTTGCAGGTGTGCCTCTGGATCTATGTCTGTGGAACATCTGGAATTTGCTGGCTGCTTTCAAGTGTGGAGGTATGGATGGTTGCAATTTGTTTCCAATTGCTTCTGTCACTGAGATAATGGATGCAGGTGGTGGCAGCGTAGCCCATAATTTTTCTTTGCCCTACTGGGTTTTCTGAGTTCCATGCATGACAGGGTCTTCCGGAAAAAGTCTTGCAGCAGCGTAACAATCAACATGCACATAGAGCTTAAAGGGAACATGAGCAGTGTATGAGGGACTAAGACTGAGATTGGCTGTCAGAGGCTCTGCAATCAATCAACTGTTTCCGATCTACAGGTCGGAGACCACAGGGTTAAAATTTGAGTTGGTCAAGTTATATGTTGGTAATTTACAGCTTTGGTTGCCTGCGGTTTGAATTGAATTTTTGGAATGAATAGTAGTCAAGTTAAATACAGAAGCCTGGTCAGTGTTTTCCGTTAACCCGAGTACACCAGACAAAGAAGTTGGTGGCTTTGAGTAATTTGGTTAAATCTTTAACTTTTATGGTGACCTCAAGGAGTAATAGGGCTTGAGTATCATGGCTCTTTCCCCAACTGGGTCATTACAAATGTCAAAAATCAAACTCAGAGTAAGGGCCCACATACTTGCACTTAAAACTGGACCAAGAGTGACCTTTTTGATACTGATCTATGAGGGCGGACAGTACTACTAGGATAAGTATGCATGTTTGTTCCTATCCTAACAGTTCATACCATAAACAATATGGACAAGTTCAAACTAGCTTTGGGCATTAGCTAAAGTTTTAATCAGAAAAAAAAAACTCAAGAGGTTCTCACAAAGCTAAAAATCCTTAAATACCCCTTCCTTACTATTTTTTCCCTTCCCCTTGATTAAACAGTAAGCCCAACCTAAGGAATGTGAGGAAGGTAAGAAAGAACAGAGAAAAAAAATTGAGAAATTATGCAGATCAAATTTAACACCATACATTTTACATATTTTGATTATTGTATTATTATGGTAGGAGGTCCCTGGTTTCAATAAGAAACACTCAGCACTTACTCAAAAATTATCATTTAAAGAGCAGGATAAATAGTTACAGTAATTTACAGATTTTCCACACAAAAATAATTCTGTAATTACAGTACCTGAATGAACGTAATCTGAAAGTGTTGTTGTATTGGTACCATGTTATTTTCAATGGCTCCAAGAATGAATGCAACAGAGGCATTCACAATTTTTCCTTTATCATTATATACAATGACATAATTCACCTGCCGAAATAAATGAAAATCATGGCATGACAGAAGTTCATTTAAGCTTCCTATTGTTTATTTCAGCAGTCAAAAAAGTGGGATGTATTACACTTTACACAACTTCAAAGTAGTGATAAGATTAAAACTGTTAAATGATAATTCAGGAAGGAGAGGCATTAATAAGCAAATCCGTATTAACCAACTTACCTCTAGCACCACATTTACGCAGATATCATCATGTAAACGAGGCAACCAATTATCAGCAGCACGGTCACTTGGATGTGTTAGCGTTCCATTTAGAGATCTCAAATTAACAGAGGTAAGTAGTAAAGGGATCTAGAATAAAGGAAAATTACTTAGTAGGTGCACCTATCCACGGTTAATAAAGAACACAAAATAAAATACCTTTTACAACAAAATATACTTGTATCTACATAGACTTGTTGTGAAAACATTGAGATTGAAATGTTGTAGTCTCTAAAAATGTAAGTCATAATTGAATTAACTCTTTAACATGTACATTTTAAACTACTGAAAATCATGATAACTTCTGGAACAGTTCAAATTCTAAGTATTTTAGTTACTTTGCATGTGGTAATTTATTGAAAATCTGCCTTTTCCATTTCAGCCTTTTGTTTTACACAGTCATAAACCTGTTAGAACTTTGATCAAAGGCTGATTGCATTTAGCATGACAATGTTAAAAGCAGAGTATTGATTGACTTTCTTTCAGTGAACTGTAACAAATGGCATTCCTGATGTGCTGATCACAAAAAAAAACCTCCAATTAAAAAGTTCTAGATTCCAATATCATTGCCATTTTAGGGTCCATGCCACTAAGCTTAAGCGGCAAGGCTTATATGAAAAGACATTCTAACTGATTTGCACTTCCCCTACCCTTCCAAATCCCACCACATCCAAGTAGTTGCTGAAATACAATAATTTACTGAAACAATTGTTCTATTTCTGTATTGATTCAGAATTAATTCTTATCCAATAGTTACTGACAATTACATTTACTGCTAGCTGATTACTGAATGGCCCCATAAACACAGAAACAAGGTGGAAAGCATCTAGACTTTGGTCAAGGTAAAAGGATTAGAAACTTTATCTAGGGTGAGCAAATGGTGCAATTTCTAACAGAGCAGCTTCTCAGGACGCCTGAGAGTGAATTATGCTGCGTCTGTATGGGAACAAATCAAATGATATAAATAATTGTCTTAACATTTTGTGCACTTGAGCAGAGGAACTTTTTTTTTATAGAATATGTTAACGACAGCCCAGGTCAGCTGTAACATTTATGGTAACAATGTTTTTAAGAAGCCCTTGGAAAAGTACAATGAAGATTTTTCAAGGATCATATCAGAACTACAAGAGAACAACAGTTAGGAAAGGCTGAGCAGACTGGGGATATTTTCCCTTGAAAAGGGAACTCAAATAGATGACAGGAGCGATAATGAATGGATTTGGTAGAGAAGATATTTCCATTTGTGGAGAAATTCTAAACACGGTTGTAAAGATAGTCGCTAATAATGCAGGAGAGATTTCTGTGTGGTTCAAAGTGGAATTTCCTATAACATAGTGGCTGAGGTAAAAAGTATCAATACATTTAAAGGAAAGTTAGATTAGTATACAAGAGAGAAAGGAATAAAAGGATATGTTAATAAAGTGAGATGCATTAAGATGGGAAGAAGTTCACATGACAAACATAGACGAGTTGGGCAAAATTGACTGAACTGTGAAGTTCAATGTAATTCAATGTGGCTGATTACACTTGAATTCTTTTAAAAGAATAGTTATGATCAATTCACTTCAGTGGACTCAAGGATTCAGTAAGTATTTCACAATCAATCAATGATGCTTGATGAAAGGAAGTCACTTAATCCCCACAGTAACTGCTATCCAATTAAAACCTCCATAAAGAGCACCTGTGAAGATACTTTGGGTTTCTTTCCCAGGAAATATCAAGACTGATTTGGTGAGAATGACCAGGAGCTAATAAACCACAATGTCAAGGTTCAACTTAAGTCCTGTGACTGAAGGAGCACATGGTGGGTGAAATGAAATCCTTGCTAGCTATGACTTGCAGGGAGTCTTCAGCACTGTCAAGACCATGGGGGAGGGCAAGCCCCAGGGGAGGCAATGACCTAGTGGTATTATCGTTGGACTGTTAATCCAGAGACCCAGGTAATGTTCTGGGGACCTGGGTTCAAATCCCGCTGGCTGGTGGAGTTTGAATTCAATAAATATCTGGAATCAAGAGTCTAATGATGAGCATGAAACCATTGTCGATTGTCAGAAAAACCCAACTGGTTCACTAATGTCCTTTAGGGAAGGAAACCGCCATCTTTACCTGGTCTGGCCTACATGTGACTCTAGACCCACAGCAATGTGGTTGACTCATAACTGCCCTCTGGGCAATTAGTGATGGGCAATAAATGCTGGCCCAGCTAGTGACACCTTCATCCTGTGAATGAACAAAGGAAAAAAAACGACCCACCCCTACTGAGAGCTAAGAACATGGTGACACATAAAGGCAGAGAAACAGCACTCATTAGTAAAGGCAGTTTGAGGGTTTCTTCTTCTGAGACTCTGTCGTCAATGTGAGTGCCCTTGACCAAATCCCACAGCATGCTACACCACTATCTCAACACAATCTCACCCTAATATAAGTTTGGAAAGGCCAAATGACAACTGAGAACTGATAAGACTATGGGCTGCAGGCTCAATGGGCTCGTTCATCTTATGGCAAACAGAATTCCTGCGGAAATGTTAAATTATGGCAGAGAAGCATTCTTGGCAAGAATACATGGATTCACTGCTCTCTTCTGGAAGTAGGAGAGGTATTTCTGAGATGCCTTTATTGTGACCATTTCAAAAAAATACTTACAGCACTGTCTGAGCTTGCACTGGGGCTCTGAAAAATATTGTATTTGAACATATTAGTTTCTAGAGTTTTAAAGGGAAAGTTTTGATAAACTATTACTTTATTAACAAAAACATATAAATATTTAAAACAGCAGATTTGAAACTCTAATGTGGCAACTCCCTATAAATATGACCTTAGTTTTTAAACAAAGTGAGCATCAGCTACCCAAAGCAACATAAAAATGCCACAATTCAAAAAGATTATATTAAAATAGAAATAAATCGGTCATAATACAACCCACTTAATCAGTTGTTAATTATACATGTTTCATAATGCTAGACTTATTAAGTTAACAAATCCAGAAGTCTAATGCCCTGGCTTCAATTTGAGTTATAACATTACATTTGATGTTAGTGAAGAATTAAACATTTATTTTGCACATTTTGACTTAGAGCTATCACTCAAATATTTTTCATGACATATAGCATTTATAAAACAAACAAAACCGTGGCAAACTTACTGGCAAAATACTAAAATGGAGATAGCGTTGTATGCTTAATGCTCTAAAATTGCTGCAGTTTGCTGCTATATCAAATCTTCTGCTGCAATATGTTGCCTGATTTACTAAGAAGCCTACATAGAAACAAGAGTCAAAGATTATTAAGATACAAACTTTACATAAATTCAAAACCAAACTTTATGTCCTTCATCATTCGGTTCTGGATCATTAATAAATTAATATAGATTAGCATTAACAATATAAACTTCAATGGGCTTTTTTGAGGTAAAAATAATGGTGAGGCTTTCAGTGTTCATTGTTACTGGGAGTATAAATTGAACAGCAACTAATGGCAACTGCAACTGTGCATTTAAACATGAAAATCATAACGTTTTCTGAGAAGCACTGCTCATCCAGAAGCTGCAGTGTATCAGTATTTAATCAAGACACTAATGAAATACATGGAATGGTATGATGTTACTTGATAGATGCACAAAAAGCTCAGGAGAAAAAAAACGAGGCCCTATCTGCCCCATTGTAAAAAGAGGGCACTGCTTTGAAATAACTTGCTAATTGTAACAGTTTTGTTACAAATCCTCAGAGAAAATCTGTGGGTAAACATTGGTGTAAAGGACATAAGATGCTGTTCATCATCACTGACCACAAATTACAGTCCAATGATCAAAAAATCACCCCACATATTTTAAAACTGAATGTAGCTTTAAGTATGGAACTCCTGTTACCCTGCCCTGGTAAAATTAGTTGAACACATCTTACCTGCTGGGTTATTGTCAGTGCATTCAGATGTTGCCAGAGGAGCAGGAAGTCTCAGAAAATCATCAACTGCTTTAATAGGAACCCCATACTAAGTTGAAAATAAAAGGTAGCAAGTGGATTAGTACTAATAAATGTTTTTACCTTCACTGTTTGGAGATATTTAGACAATATGTATGTCAGAATATCAAAGAGATCTACTACTTTGTTCTTATTTAAATTGAGAAATGAGATTTGACACTGAAAGTGTTGATTAACTATTGTTAAATGCCTCCAAGAGTCTTAGCCCTTCACCATTGTTGCAACCTTCCTTACATCTTAACCATGACGTCCACATGGACTCTACTAATGGTAAGAAAATCTTCAATCATCTACCGCCCCCCCCAAGTTTAGGAACCAGTCCTTAATAGCTTTTATCTAGCTAGGTCTCTCCACATTTTAAAAAGTCTCCTGAAAACTTACATCTTCAATTACATTCTATAAATTAATTTAATTGCTGAATCAATCTATAATTCTAAATTCTAAATAAGAGCCACTTAGGCCTAGTGAATGAGGAAAAGCACCCTAACATTGACATAGAATCTTTACAAGAGCAAAAAAGGCAAAATAAAAAGAACTTATTCAACCATGAAATGATCCATTGACTGACTAGCTAACTAATCAACTAACTTTAAAAAAAAATACTGTTTTAAAAAAAGGCAAGTTACCATTTAAAGTTAATTAAGTTTCTACCAGGCTTAAAAAGGGACAAACAAGTTCCATGACAGCAGCCATAAACTAACAAACAAACAAAATAAACTAATAAACTACTTAGCAAGCACAGTGGCTCAGTGGTTAGCACCCTCAGGCGACTGTCTGTGTGGAGTTTGCACATTCTCCCTGTGTCTGCGTGGGTTTCCTCCGGGTACTCCGGTTTTCTCCCACAGTCCAAAGATGTGCAGGGTAGGTGGACTGGCCATGCTAAGTTGCCCGTAGTGTCTAGGGATGTTTAGGTTAGGCGGGTTAGGCATGGGGAAATGCAGGGGTAGGGCAATGAGTCGGGGTAGGATGCTGTTTGGAGGTGCGGTGTGGACTAGTTGGGCCGAATGTATTTGAGGTATGTAATTTTTGCCAGTTTATCAAGAGTGCCATTTCATAAGGCGCTAGTCAAAACAAAGTTTACTGTACATGTATTTGATTTATTACTTTCACTGTATCTCAGTACACATGACAAGTATTGTTTTGCATGCTATACACGCAAATCATACCTTACATAAGTACATCAGGGTAATAGAACAGAATGCAGAATATATGATGCAGGGAAAGATCAACTTTAATATACAAGAGGTCCATTCAAAAGTCTGATAACAGTGGGGAAGAAGATTTTCTTGAATCTGTTGGTATATGTTTTCAAACTTTTGTATCTTCTGCCCAACAGAAGAAGGTGGAAGACACTATACCTGGGTTGATTACTTTGGCTGCTTTCCCAAGGCAGTGGGAAATATAGACACAGTCAGTAGATGGAAGGCTGGTTTGCACTGAGCTGTCTTCACAACTCTCTAATTTCTTGCGGTTTTGGGCAACCATTCCGAACTTTCCTCTCTTTTAAAAGACACAGTAAATCTGCCTTCACCATATTCTCAGGCAGATCCTGAACAATTGCAGAGTTTTTAAAAAAATGTTGTCTTTGAATTGGTTTCCAAACACCATACATATCTTCCCTCTGGTTCTCAGCCCACCCACTGGTTGTCTCTATCTACTCTAAGAAACTCATGATTTTGAGCATCTTTATCCCATCTCCTTTCACTCAGCTTGCTCTTCTCAAAGGAGAACCCCAGTTTCTCCTTTTATTCATTCATGACATGTGGATACAACTGGCAAGACAAGCATTTATCGCCTTTGGGAAAATGGTGGTGAGCTACTTTCTGGAACTGCTGCAATCCAAGTTTTGAAGGTACTCCCACAGACTTTTTGGGTAGAAACCTCCAGGATTTTTTCCCCATCTTCTGGGTTCTTTATTTATTTAAATAATAGTGGTGTCAGAACCCATTATTATAATTTTCATCAAAATCAAAATGATTTAACAAACAACTGAGGTCAGGAATTTTAAGAAATCGATTAAAAAAACACTGGCTATTTGATTCAGACATTTTACAATCTCTTAATACAGAACTCAGAAATTGCAGACTACTGTGCTGACAAATGTGAACATTTCCATGGCATTTATGATTACTACCTGATAGCCTCTTGCCGTTGACTTGGATCTACTTGTAGTTGGTGGGTTTGGTGTACTAAAGGAAGAACCACCAAATTGTTTCATTAATCTGTCAAAATTATGAGTGGTTGGCACTTCTGGGGCAAAAAAAGATGATCCTGCTCTGTCTGATGATTAAAAAAAAGACATAAGAACAGAAGAAAAACAATTAGAATAAATGATTGGAAACAAACAGCCATTTATCAAAATTTGTGCAAATTGGAAAGAAACTTTCTGTAGTGGTCCAATTAAAATGCTAACATGTATGGTTCTTTTACAAAAACAAACTAGCACTTAGGTGTGATCTGTTGGTTTTCATTTGAACCTGGGATTACAAGTTATATATTTTGTGGTATAGATGTTTTTAGTTAACGTTGACATTGAAAAATACATCAAGATTTCAATTTGGTCCAGTCTTATCTTGCAAACTGATAGCTTGCTTTATGTAACTTCATTCATCGTATTTGATCAATTAATAGGAAATGTACAGAGAAATGCATGATTTTAATAAAAAGAAATCCAATGTAATATCTTCCATGTCTAAATGAATAAATGCAACATCTGGTGAAATACTTATTCAGAGAGATTAATATGGAAGTACCAATTTCTATATTAGGCTTGTGCGTACTTCACTTATTTCAGCCAGAATACCCATTAAAAGAGACGTGACTTTTGGCTTTTTTGAATTTTGTTTCTCAAAGCCCTGATTGTAAGGAATTTTAGCCCCAACTGCATTTGAAGACAATGTGTGATTGCCAAATGAGAACATGGGCTGAATAATATACCATTGCTTATTGTCCATGCTGACATGAGAAAACCAAGTGGCTAAAGGAGAGGTATATTAGCATCATGGATGCTTTAATAACATACATGGCCACTTCATCAATGGAATTGCATTCCAGCAGAAATCAGAATTTCAGAAGAGGCTAATCAGAAGATGAAGGCATGTTACAATTGGTACAGAAATTGTAATTTGCAAATTGTTAAAGGATTATTTCTCTTCAATTACTTAGATTGAAAAAGAGCTTCAAATAAAACTGTATAAATGATAAATTCTAGCAATGTCTCACTTCCAGAAATGAGAAAATTTAGAAATGAGAAATTTTAGAAATCCATAGCAAGCCAAAGATAAGACTGAAGTATTTGCAGTAATCCTCAGCCAGAAGTGCCAAGTGAATGATCCATCTCAGCCTCCTCCAGAGGAACGCACACCACAGAGTTAATCACCAGCCAACGTAATTCATTCCATGTGTCATCAAGAAAAGGCTGAAGGTACAGGATACTACAGAGGCTACATTCCCTCATTACAGTTTGGCAACAGTATTGCAGACCTGGGCTCCAAAACCGACTGCACTCTAGCTCCTCTGATGCTGCTTGGCCTGCTGTGTTCATCCAGCTCTACACCTTGCACTCTAACCAAGCTGTTTTAGTACAGCTACAACACTAGCATGTATCTGACAATGTAGAACATTGCCCATGTATTTCCTGTGCCACAAAGGGACAAATCCAACCCAGACGTGATCAGCCCACTAGTCTGCTCTTAATCAACAGTAAAGCAATAGAAAGAATCATCAATTGTGTTATCAAGCAGCACCTGCTCAGCAATAACCTCCTCAGTGATTTCAATTTGGGTTCAGTTTTCAGGGACACTCATCTCCTGACCTCATTACAATCGTGGTTCAAACATGGACATAATAGCTGAATGTGGTTGTTTACTTGCTCACCGAGCTGGTAAGGGCCTGATCAAGTCCATCCTTGAATATTGTGGGAGACAAGGGAAGAAATTTCAGAGGCCCTTGCAGAGATTTTTGCTTCATCTTTAGCCACTGGTGAAGTTCCAGAAGACTGGAAGGTGGCTAATGTTGTTCCATTGTTTAAGAAAGGTAGCAATGACAAGCCAGGGAACTACAGGCCAGTGAGCCTTACATCAGTGGTATTAGAGAGGATACTGAGGGACAGGATCAACCAATATTTGGATAGTCAGTCAGCATGGATTTGTGTGCGGTAAGTCATGTCTGACAAATCTTTTAGAGTTTTTCAAAGACGTAACCAGGAGGATGGATGAGGGTAGGGCAGTGGATGTTGCCTATACATAATTTAGTAAAGACAAGGTTCTGCACAGCAGGCGAATCATGAAAATTAGGTTGCATGGGATCCAGGGAGAGCTAGATAATTGAATTCAAAATTAGCTCGATGGTAGGAAGCTGAGGGTGATGGTTGAAGGTTGTTTCTCGGACTGGAAGCTCGTGACTAGTGGTGTGCAACAGGGGTCGATGCTGGGGCCTTTGTTATTCGTTTTTTACATAAATGATCTGGATGTGAATGTACAAGGCATGATTAGTAAGTTTGTGGATGATACAAAATTAGGAGATATCATTGATAGTGAAGGTTATCAAAAATTACACAGGGATCTGATCAGATGAGGGAGTGGGCTGAGGATTGGCAAATGCAATTCAATACAGATAAACGTGAGGTGTTGCACTTTGGAAAGTCAAACCAGTGTAGGACTTATACAGTAAATGGTAAGGTCCTGAGGAGTGTTGTGGAACAGAGGGACCTAGGAGTACCAGTACACGGTTTGTTGAAAGCAGTGTCACAGGTGGGCAGGGTGGTGAAGAAGGATTTAGTATGCTGGCCTTTGTCGGTCAAGGCATTGAGTATAGGAGTTGGGACTTTGTGTTACAGTTGTATAACTCATTGGTGCAGCCGTACTTGGAGTATCGAGTACAGTTTTGGTCAGCCTGTTATAGGAAAGACATAGTTAAACTGGAAAGTTGTGCAAAGAAGATTTATGAAGATGTTGCCAGGACTAGTAGGCCTGAGTTATAGAGAGAGGTTGGCCAGGATAGGACTTTATTCCTTGGAACATAGGAGAATGAGGGGTGACCTTTTTGAGGTATATAAAATCATGAGGGGCATAGTTAAGATGAATGCATATAGTCCTTTTCCCAGGGATGGGGAATTGAAAACTAGAGGTCATAGGTTTAAGGTGAAAGGGGATAGACTTAAGAAGGACCTGAGGAGCAACTTCTTCACGTAAAGAGTGGTGCACATATGGAATGGGCTGCCAGATAAAGTGGTTGAGGCAGCTACAATAGCAACATCTAAAAAAACACTTGGAAGGGTACATGGATGAGAAGGGTTTAGAAGAATATGGACCAAATGTAGGCAATTGGAATAGCTGAGTGGGCACCACAGTCAACATGGACCAGTTTGGGCCGAAGGGCTAGTTTCCATACTGTATTACTCTATGACTCTATTCCAGTGCAGCCAGGAAGTCAGTTTTATTAGCATCTCTGTAATTGTAGTTCAGTCTGCATACCAGGATGGCTTTTTTGGTGTCACTGAGTGGCCAGTCAGATAGGTTCCTTATCCAAATGTCTGCCCTGTCTATGTCATTACTGTGGATAAGGTTAGTCAGTTTTTTCCTGTAGGGCCTGTCTTTTCTTGATCCTGGTTTTCTGTTGTTTCATGATAATGGCTCATTCTAGTGTTGCAGTCCATTCTTGTCTGGTCAAGTTTGAATACAAAGTTTTTTGGCACACAATTTCCAGCTTACATTTGTGAAGGCATTGGTAATCATTACCCGTAGCATTCTGTGGCTATTCTGTGCAGCTGTTTTCTGTGCTTGTGGGTTGTTTAGCGGTGGCTGGTATTTTACACTGTGTGGCAGTACCTGTTTTCTGATACATTCATGTCAGAAGTAAAGTTGCTCGTGGGTGGCACTCAGTCAGATGGCATTCGTTTCCCATCGTCAGGCTAGTTTGAGCATGTTGCGCAACCGGGAAAGAACACTGCCCCTTCACCAGAGGCGCACTGATGCTGTTACCTAGTATGGTGATGAAATGTCTGCAAACAAACCTACCAGCTCGCAAAGCAAATCAACAACCACATCAACAACCTGAGCTACAAATCTTCTCAAAAATCTTGAATAATAGCTGAATTGCAGACCGGAATTGAGAGTGACTTCCTATGGTGTTAGGGTCACATCCAGGAGCCCTAGCAAAATTAGGATCAAAGGGAATCAGAAGAAACTCTTCGCTTGTTGGAATTATACCTAGATCAAAGGAAGGTGGTTCTGGTTGTTGGAGATCAGTCAACTCAGCCCCAGGCCATCCTTTAAGGAATTCCTCAAGGTTGTGGCCTCAACCCATCCATTTTCAGCCACTTCATCAATGACCTACACTATATCACAAGGTTAGAAGAGGAGATGGTTCCACAGATTCTAGCTCCATTCACAACTCCTCAGATATTGAAGCAGTCCATGTCCAAATGCAGCAAGACGTGGAAAATATCCATGCAACAATTGGCAAGTAACATTTATATTACACAAGTGTCATTGCAATGACCATCTCAAATGCCATCACATCCACAAACATTCACTCCTTCCACTACCAACACACAGTAGCAGAAAGTAGCATCTACAAGATACAATGTAGAAATTCACCAAGGCTTGTTAGATACCTTTCAAACCCACAACCACTGCCATCCAGAAGGACGAGGGCAGCAGATATAGGGGAACACCTGCAAGTTCATCTCCTTCCCCTCCAAGCCACTGACCATCCTGATTCATAAATAATCACTGTTCCTTCATGGTTGCTGGAACAAAATCCTAGAACTCATTACCTAACAACACTGTCTTTCTACACCAAATGGACAGCAGCAATTCAAGAAGGCAGTTCACCAGAACTTTCTCAAGGGCATCCAGGGATTGGCAAGCCAGGGAGCCCACATTCTCCAAACGATATTTTTTAAAAGACGTATGAGCAATGCTTCTGTGTTAGGCAAGTGCATGATTGGGTATATTTTATTGCCACACAAGCAATTCAAATATTAAATAAAAACAGAAAGAAAATATTATGTGGTTACATATTATTATAGTTTCATTTTTAATTTAAATACAGTGTTACAGTGCAAATAAAATATAACATTTAAAGAAAATAGATTACATGTGCTCCTATATTTCACTTACAATTGTTTGTCTTAATACAAAAGATGCTGGGGTTGATCAAGGATACAGATTTATTCCAATTCAAAGTATACATTGCTGCCTCTTGATTGCAAAGCTCACGATCACCCCTGCATGGAGTTCAAGAAATATTCGTACATTGAAAGATTATAAGGTTCTGTTTTAATTTTCTAAGGAACACATGGAAAACAAAAAATATGTTAAAAATTCCATTTATATGTGTTGACAACACAAGTAATAGTGAGAAAACTTCAAAATCATGTTAGAAAACACAACAATTAATAGACGACAAGCTCACCAAAAATCCAGACTGAAAACAAAAAGTGCTGGAAATCACAGGTCAGGCAGCATCCATGGAGAGACAGTAAGCTAACTTTTCGAGTCTTGATGACTATTCATCAGAGCTGACGTGAAGCATGGAGGGGGCAGCATTTGTGCAATGGTGGGAGGTGGGGGTGGAGTGCAGGAGGAGAAAGAGTGTTGATAGTGCAGATTAAGTGATCTGAATGTGAGAATGGCAGAACAATGGTGTGTCTAACTGCCAAACTGGGAAGAACAGACAGTCCCAGTGGAGTGGAGGGAGGGGAGAGAGAACGTGGTGACAGAGAATGTATCAAGTAAAGCTAAAATAAAGGGAAGGAATGGGAGTGGGTTCACAACCTGAAGTTGTTGAACTCAATATTAAGTCCAGAAGGTTGTAAAGTGCCTATCTGAAGTCAAGATGTTGTTCCTCCAGTTTAAGCTGTAAATCACTGGAGCACTGCAGCATGCCGAGGACAGACTAGTGGGCATGTGAGCAGGATGCTGTGTTAAAATGACTGCTTATAGGAAGGTTGGGGTAATGCTTGCACACAGACCAGAGGTGTTCTGCAATGTGGACACCCAATCTGCGTTTGGCTTCTCCAGGTAGAGTAGGCTACACTGGGTGCAGCGAATGGAATACACCAGATTGGAGGAGGTTCAGTGAAATGCTGCTTCACCTACAAAGACTGTTTAGGCCCTTGGATGGTGAGCAAAGAGGAGGTGAAAGGGCAGGTGTTGCACCTTCTGTGGTTACGTGGGAAGGTGCTGTGGGACGGGGGGTTGGTGTTGGTGGTCAAGGAATGGACTGGGATGTACTGGAGGGAACAATCCTTGTAAAATTGAGACGGGGGAGTGAGGGGAAGATGTGTTTGGTGGTGGTGTTCTCCTGAAGTTGTCTGAAATGTTAGTTTTCCTGATAAAGACAGATTAAAACTAATTATTTCATATTTTTGGTATTTCACTGAAACTATCATGTATTCCCTGTGGCTCTATCCACACCCTGATTTTTCTTTTATCAGTTGTGTGTCTAAAATGTACATTTTCCTTTTATCTTCCTAGACAATCAAGTTTTACACTTCTTTTGTTACATTTTAAAAAAAAAAACTTTTTTAAAAATCATTTTGTATTCTCTTTGGTCATTTTCTCCCTTTCCGGCCAAGGGTGTGTATCTCCTCAATTTTGCCCCTATTCCTTACTCTTTTTTGTGAAGGCATTAGAGCGCGTGCAGAAACAGTTCACAAGAATGAGATAAGAAATTTCAGTTACAGTGATAGTTGGAGAAGGTGGGACTGTTCTCCTTGAGAAGATAAGAAACAGTTGACAGGAGATTTGATTGAGATACTATATTCAACATACAATCATAAGAATTAGGATCAGGCATATGCCATTTGATCCTTCTGGTCCATATTAGCTGATCTAAATTGTGACATCAACTCTATATTCCTGCCAACCGCTGATAACCACTGACTCCCTTATTAGTCAAGAATTTATCTACCTCTTCCCTTAAAAATATTCAATGATCCTGCCTTCACTATTTTCTCGGGAACAGGGTCCCAAAGACACTCAATCATCAAACCCAAAGAAGAAAAAAAATCTTCTTCATATCAGTTTTATATTAGAGGACCCCGACTTTTAAACTATGTACCCTAGTTGTTCTAATCTTTCCCATAAAGGGAAACTATCCTTTTGACATTCATCCTGGTAAGTCCCCTCAGGATTCTATATGACTCAATAAGAACACCTCTCATTCTTTAAAACTTGAATGGATACCAGCACAGCCTGTTCAACCTTTCCTTTTAAGATAATCTCACATTCCAGTTATCATTAGAATGAACATTCTCTGAACTGCCTCTAATGCATTTACATCCTCTCATAAATCAGATCGCTAAAACCATACACAGTACTCCACATGTCATCGAGTTATAAGAAAATGGCCCTATTTTTATATTCCATTCCCCTTTAAATATACAAGATTTCATTTGCCTTCCTAATCACTTACTCTACCTGTTTACAAACTTTGGGATTCATATATTCAGAACAAAGAACCCTCAATTTTGCAGAATTCTGTAATCTCTCTCCAGTTAAATAATACTGGGCTTTCCTATGTATTTTTATTCACTCATGAGACATGGGTATTGCTGACAGGGCCAGGCATTTATTGCCTATCCCTCGTTGCCCTTGAATGGTGGTAATAAGTTTGAACTGCTGTAGTCCATATGCTCTAGATAAATTCACAATGTTGTTATGGAGAGAATTTTAGGAATTTGATCTAGTAGTAGTGAAGGAATGGTGATATATCTGTGGCTTGAAGGGGAACTCGAAGGTGGTGGTGTTCCCATATATCTGCTGTCCTTGTCATTTTAGGTAGAAATATTGTGGGTTTGGAAGGTGCTGTCTAAGAACCTGAGGTGAATTTCTGCAATGCATCTTGTGGCTAGCACACACAGCTGCGACTGAACATTGGTGGTGGATGGCTGAATGTTGTGGTCGTGGTGCCAATCATATGAGCTGCTTTGTCCTGCCTGGTCAAGCTTTTTGAGTGTGTTTGGAGTTACACTGATCCAGGTAAGTGGCAAGTATTGCATCACACTCCTGACTTATGCATTGTTGATATGGACAGGCTTTGGAGAGTCAGGAGGTGCATAACTCACTAAAGTATTCCTAGCCTCTGACCTGCTCTTGTAGTCACTGCATTTATATGGCGGGCCCAGTCCAGTTCTGATCAATGGTAACCTTCAGGATGTTGATAGTAGGGTATTTAGTAATGATAACACCACTAAATATCAAGGGGCAGTGGTTAGACTGTCTTATCAGAGAAGGTCATTGCCTGCATTTACATGGTGTGATAGCATTGTGGGTCAACCCACAGCAGGAGGACTGCAGCGGTTCAAGAAGGCAGCTCACCACCATCATCTCAAGGGCATCTAGGGATGGGCAAGAAATGCTGGCCAGCCAGCGATGCCCACATCCCACAAATGAATAGAGAAAAAAATATTTGCCACTGGCCATCCAAAGCCTGGATGTTGTCCAGGTCTTGTCGCATTTCGACATGAATTTTGTCAGTATCTGAGGAGTCGCAAATGGTGCCGGAGATTTTGCAATCATTGGCAAACATCCACATTTCTGACTTTATGATAGAGGGAAGGTCATTGATCAAGCAGCAAAACATGGTTGGGCCTGGGACACTACCCTAAGGAATACCTGCTGAGATGAATGACCTCCAACAACCACAACCATCTTTCTATGTGCTAGGTATGGCTACAACCAGAGGAGAGCTTTCCCTCTGATTCCAAATGCCAAAGTAGACAAATTCACATTTTCCACCTTACATTCCATCTTAGTTGCCCATTCAAAATTGAGGGGTCTGTACAATAGATAGTAGATATGGTGGAAGGACTGAGAATCAGAGAACACAGATTTAAGGTAATTGGCAAAATAAGTAATGACAACATAAGGAAAAAGGTTTTCCTATATCAAATGATTGAGATCAGGAATGCATTAGCTCAGAATCAGCTGAAAGGAAAGTCAATTGAGGCTTTCAAAAGAGAATTGGATCATTATCTGAAAAGGAAAAAAAATTGTCGGGCAATGGGGAAAAGGTTGGGGAGAAATGCTAAGTAAATTGCTCCTTCCAAAGGCCCATGAAGACATGAAAGGATGAATGGGGGTAGGGGAGATTGGTGAAGCCACGTAGCAATTTGAAAACAAGGAGAATTTTAAAATCAAAACATTTCTTAACCAGATCCAGTGTAGGTCAGAAATCACAGGTAATGGATAAACAGGATGCTGTATGAACTAAGGAACAAGTGGAGTTTTTGCTGACTTCAAGTTTTCAGAGGGTCGAACATAGGAGGCCAGCTGGAAATGAATTGGAATATCTCAAATCCAGAGGTAACAAAGGCATGAATTAGGGTTTCAGCAGAGAAGCTGAGGTAGGAATGGAGTTTTTTCATTAACTCGTGGGATGCAGTTGTCACTGGCTGGGCCAGCATTTATTTCCCCCTCCCTAGATACCCTTGAGAAGGTGGTGATGAGCTGCCTTCTTGAACTGTTGCAGTCCATGTGCTATAGGTAGACCTACAACAACATTAGGAACAGAATTCCAGGAATCTGACCCAGCGGCACTGAAAGAATGGGGAAATGTTTTCAAGTCAGGATGGTGAGTGACTCAGAGGGACTTCTCGTGTATGTTATGAGTGACAGGAAGAAAAATGAAAATTACTGGTATGAAAAGGAAAGGTTCTGAGGTACATAAAATGGAGAGGAGCAGGAAAGACATAGATATTTGAAAACGAGAGTGAATACTTAAGGAATGATACACAGGCACTATGGTTGGTGGTCTTAGTCAGTTTATAGCAGGTAACTACAAAATAATATACCGGAAATCAAATGTTATTAAAAAAAAATCAACGAACTATAAAAAAGAATTATAGTTACAATTTAAGAAAATCTGAATTTACTGGATCTAAGTAAATGCGCAATCATATCAAATCAATTAAGGTTTTATCAATGCATAAATTAATTCATTTCTCAGTTTAACTTACATGACAATCTTAATATCACAGGTTGTAAAAGTAGCTCGATCAGATTTTCTACAGTCTGGATCACAGCAGCAATTTATATCACACTGTTCCACCAGTAAGTTGCAAACACACAAAGAGTGAACTGAAAGGGCAAAAATGTACCAAAGTGATCATAAAATTAAAAACAATGAGATACATTTCCAATTTATCAATTCTGGTGAAATTAGTGATGGATATATTGACTGATCAATAAAAACTGCATATCATACAATGCAGAGCTCCCTCAGTAATACACTGGAAAGTCAGCCAAAATACATACTCACATTCCTGAGGTCATCATGAGTGTATGATCTCTTTATGAGAGACATAAACCCTATAATGTAACATCTCTTTAATATTTACTTAATATTAAATTTGAAAGGGTTCAGAAAAGATTTACAAGGATATTAGAGATAACAAGGTGTAGAGCTGGATGAACACAGCAGGCCAAGCAGCATCAGAGGAGCAGGAAGGCTGACGTTTCGGGCCTAGACCCTTCTTCAGAAATATTGCCAGGGTTGGTGGGTCTGAGTTATACAGAGAGGCTAAATTGCCTGGGGCTATTTTCCCTGGAGTGTCGGAAGTTGAGGAGTGACCTTATAGAGGTTTATAAAATCATGAGGAGCATGGATAAGATAAATAACCAAGGTCTTTTTCCCAGGGTAGTGGAGTCCAAAACTAGAGGGCATAGATTTAAGGTGAGGAGGGAAAGATTTAAAAAGGGACCTAACAGACAGAAAGCGTCTGTGCTCAGCTACTGCAATGTAAGACTTCTGTCTAATTTGTTTACATGACTGTAATGACTATCCTTTTAACAATATCTTATTTCTGTAAAATAATGCAACCACTTTTCTTTTTTATTCCTTTTTTCATATCTAAGATTGGTGCCTAGGTACTTGTGCCTCAGATGGTGCCATAAGAGGCGACAATGTAAAACTTTTCACTATATGTCTGTACTTGAGTACACATGACAATAAAGAATATTCTAGAGATAGTAGGAACTGCAGATGCTGGAGAATCTGAGATAACAAGGTGTAGAGCTGGATGAACACAGCAGGCCAAGCAGCATCAGAGAGCAGGAAGGCTGACGTTTCGGGCCTAGACCCTTATTCAGAAAATGTTTCAGGAGTCGCAGGGAGAAACGCTTCTGAAGGATCTCAATGTTCTGAATGTAGACATTGTCACGGTTGGGGAGGAAGGGTCTAGGCCCGAAACGTCAGCCTTCCTGCTCCTCTGATGCTGCTTGGCCTGCTGTGTTCATCCAGCTCTACACCTTGTTATCAAAGAATATTCTAAATTCTTGTTCATGCAGAGAGTGGTGCGCATGAGCTGCCACAGGAAGTGGTAGATGCTGATACAATTACAATATTTAAAAGGCATCTGGATGGATACATGAATAGGAAGGATTCAGAGAGATATCGGCCAAATGCTGGCAAGTGCGACTAGATTTATTTAGGATATCAGGTTGGCATGGATGAATTGAACTGAAGGGCTTGTTTCCATGCTGTACAACACCCTGACTCTATTTACTAATTAATTCAAAACTGATATTGATATGAAAATTATTGACACTAATTCTGGGAAGGATAGGCATCTGGTTCAGAATAAAACCCCAGAGCACAGATTTCATTCCTGTTCTGACTGACAAGTGATGGCATTTCTAGACCAGGTGGTACATAAACTTGGGTCTTCTGGACCAGTTATGTTTATAGATATTTTCTTAATCAACTTGCCCAGAGATGTATGGAGCAGTTGGGACTTGAACATGGTCTCCTGGTCTAGAAGTAGGGACACTACCACAATTCTACAAAAAAAAAACACCCTCCTCCCACCTACATTCCGGGTAAAGTAGACGTGGTACCTGTCTCCCTGCTCTGCCCGTGAAAAAAAGGTAATAACAGCTACCAATCACTGAGGAAATTATCAAAAATTAGCTCGGGGACGATCACTCATGGAAAGGATGGACTGATTATAGAACTGAGTCCTTGTCCAAGGTTAATATTTTTGATCTTTGGGAACACAAGTTCTGTTCCTTCTTACGTTTATTCTGCGGTTTTTAAGAAAAAAATAACTCGCGTTTAAACATAGCGAAGCATACAGGAACATAAACCTACCGTTTATTTCAAGGTCTGGCAGTGTACCTACTCGCGGCAGAACCTCACTTTGAGTTAATGTCGATGAAGTTGTTGTTAAATCTGTCCACTGATCGACGAAGCTCGTGGTATTACCAGAGCCAGAATTCAACGGATGTGGAGTACTCACAACTTCAGTCAGATTATTGTCGGCAAGCAGATTGCCCTCAATAACGCTGTTTAACAAGAGTCTCATAACAATCCATAAAAAAACGGTCAGCTCCATCGCCGTGGGCAACCATTAAACAAGCAATAACCATCAGTATCCGCTTCCTGTCGGCTGATTGGAGCAATCTGCGGCAAAATTTATGAAAAGTAAATCACTGGGCGTCACCGTCAGGTATGTGTATTAAAAAAGAGAAAACATAATTTTAAGATGCAGCATGAAGTTTGAGCTTACAAGACGTCACCGCGCCTGACGTCATGCGCCGTTTAAAAAAACACTGTGACGTAAGCACGGCGATGACGCTTTGCCCTGTCCTTGGGGGTTGGGGTTCGGAGCGTTGGATGACGCACTGGTCAGTTCCAATGACGCGCGTGCGCGGGGTTGGTCACGAGAGCCGTGAATTGGAAGTGGAGTGCCGTAACGTTCAGATGAGCAGTCAGTGTGATCGCGGCCGATAGTGTTACGTTTTGCGTAAGGAAGATGGCGATTCTCGGGCTGCAGTTCGACGGAGCCGGCCGCGTCAACCTGAAGAACAGACTTTAAGTGACGAAAGTGTATATGTCTTGGAGAGGAGAGCAAAAAAGTAGGAGCGAATCGAGAACGTGAAGCTGCGTGTTTGTGTGCGTCGCCGTTGCGAGAGTGAGCGGAGTGTGTCCGCAGTCTCTGCCTCTCTGGGCTTCAAGGTGCCGCTCAGGACCCTCAGGGGTGTAGGGATGTTTTCTGTTTTGTCCTATGGAAGACTGGTGGCCAGAGCAGTATTAGGAGGACTCTCCCAGACGGATTCTCGGGATTATAGCCTGGTTACAGCCAGTTGCGGCTTTGGGAAGGACTTCAGGAAAGGGATATTAAAGAAGGGAATGTGTTATGGAGATGATGCGTGTTTCATTGCCCGGCACAGAAGCGCTGATGTTTTGGGTAAGTGGGTGACTTCATTTATTTATTTTCATTAAGTAAGCAGCAATGTTTTAAAACAAAACATAAACGAAATGAATAGGTTGAGGCAAGTGTGGTATTGTGGCATACGAAAGGCCCTGCTCAGCTTCGACAAGAATAGAAAGACAAAATTCTACCAGCGTAAAACGCCCTTTTGTTGGATGAGAAATATCATAATGTGTTAAAGCGTTGTTTTATTTCCGAAACTCACCGACGTGTTAGTCTGCAGTCAGTGCCTATTGAATAAGTCATGGCTTTTTTTTTTTAATGTCTCTCATGATTTTATGGTAACGTATGAAAGTAACTTTTTAGTTTCTTCCCACCCTCCGTTCGTTAAAAATCAAGTCGAAAGTTAACTTTCTAAATGCGAGCAAACGTCTCTCGGATTATGCCTACACGTGGGTCGGTTTGTTTTGATGAACCATGAAAATCATGACGGGGGAAGTATTGGAGATTCTTTTCGTCTTTGTTGCAAATTAACTAAATTTCCACGGTTGAATGAAAAACTGAATATTAACATTGAAACTGTACTTCAATATAATGTGACTTTGAACAAGCTTCTATGTTTGGACCGGCGGACTGAGGCTGACTTCCGCATTTGAAAGCCGCAGGAAATGTGAAATCGACTACATGTTGCAATTTATGTGACTTTGAGGTTGTATACTTTGAAACATTAGGAGCAATGAAGTGATTGATTTAATTAACTTGATCTGTGCTTTAGTAAAATTATAATGGTAAACATTTAGAGTATACATGCGCAATGAAAATCTACGCAAATAGAACGAGTGTCTTTTTAGAAATGCGAGTGTATCCCAAGGACTGCAGCGTTTCAAGGGCAATTGGGGATGAGCAACAAACGCTGATGTAGCCAGCAATACCTGATTATCCCACGAACAAAAAATAGAAAAATTATATTAAACCTGTTTTCAAAAGTGACGTGTCATTGCCCTCTTGAAACGTACTGTTTTTGTGTGCATTTTTCACAGCGCACCATTTTAAAATTTGACAGCATCTGCAGAGTTGTCGCTAATCCTGAAAACTTAATTATGCGTGACTGAAAATTAGGACTGTCGGGTTGAAATTGATTTTACAGCTGACAGAATAGTAGCTATTGTATAAACATTAATCCATCATTAATTTATTTTGCATATTTACAAAGATGAAAAAAACATTACTGCCTAGGTTAATATTTCCCTCATGTTTTGATCTTGAATAATGGAGGGATCAGTGTGTCTAGTTTGGAATTGTTTTGACAACTTATGCTGATATTTAAAGAGCTTGTGTTCAGTTAAGGAAACGTACCAAATACTTTGTCAAGTTATTTGAGTTGCACCCATAATTTCTGCTTTTACAGGCCCTTAGGTTATTTTACCCATGCCTCCCTGTCTCATAGTCTGTTGATTCTCTGTCAGGGTGATCCACATCAAAATCGTGAATTCTGCTTCTCTAGGAAGTAAGATCTTTGATTAGGCAAGAGAAATTGTTTATCTACATTTGAAGTCTTTTACCTACAGTTTTCTTCCTGTTGGCTTCCAAAAGAAATAAGATTATGAACATTTGTCATTGTAATTACAATCCCTCCCTCAACCCAACCTAATCCATCCAGTGGAGCTATTGCAGTACCATCATTGCGAGTTTGTATAAATCATCGTAAGAGTTCAATCTTCCACTTGTATACTGACAAGCCTTTTACTACTTGACTCTTCAACATTGCCCCTATCAAACTATGTGACTTGGGTTCAGAATTGCATAATCTGTATTTATTTCCATTTAAATAATTAAAAAGTCAAGTCCTCACCTCGAACTCTACTTTTCCTTCATCACTGCCAAGACAGTTCACAATCTAATTCAGAGATTCTATTTGAATTGGAGTTGAGCTTTTGGCCCTTTAACTGTTCTACAACACAGGCCTCTTCTACATTTGTCATTATGCTGGCCTCGGATGTTTTTTCCATCATCGAAAATGTACAAAGTTAGACAGTAATTTATTGAAGGATTTCAGGCTGCATTTATATGGGAGCTACTATTCTCTGTTAGCTATAAAATCAATTTTAAGCTGTCATATTGAAAATTTTGTGGATGCTTTTGTCCACCCCAAGAGTTGACTGTTTCAATCCTGACCTAGCTGGTCTTTTACCTTCTACTCTCCAAATATTTCAGCTCATCTAAAACTACCAGGATCCTATTCTATATCAGATCCCACCTTTCTATTTGCCTCTGTCTTTTCTCACCAGTATACTGCAACAGCCATGGACCCTCAGAGCATACTAGCAGGGGTACTGAAGACTTGAGCTCCAGAGTAAGCCATGCCCCTGATCAGCCTTGACATCTAACTTTGAGAAATTACTCACGTATATCCTGTACGCACAAGGCAGGACACATCCACTCTAGCCAATTACTGCCTCTTCATTCTGCTCTCTATCAGCAACAGTGTGACGGATGGGTTGTAAACAGTGCCATCAAGCAACAGTTGTTCAAGTAAACTCATTAACATTCAGCTTTTGTCAGGGCAAATTGGCTGCTGACCTGATTAGAGCCGTGGTCCAAATTATGTTGGAGAAAAGAGCTGAATGCAAGGTGCTGATTCTCCTGGAAATCAAGGCAGCAATTGACCGCTTATGACTTTAAAGAACTCTTTCATTTTAAAAAAAATTGCTAGCAATGGGAATTGTGGGGGCAGCCATTTTTGATTCAGACTTAACCTGAATAAAGATGGTCTGAGACCAAAACTCTGAGTTCCTTAACCCAGTATCTGACCCCACTGCTTTATTAATGACCTTCTCTCCGTTATGAATGTTTGATTGCAAATGGTTCTGAACGTTTTTCAGTGACTTAGATGCTGAAGCAGCTTGTGTCCATATGCTACAAAAACTAGCATTCGGGCTAAGTGATGAGTAATATTTAGGCCACAAGTGCCAGTAAGGACGGTCTGTCTGACACAATCTCCACTTGATGCTTAATGCCATTTTCACCTCTACTTCCCCAATATTGACATCTTGGAGTTTCTGTTGACCAGAAACTGTATAGGTCCAGGCATATAAATACTGTGGTTATAAAACCAGGTCAGTAATTATGAATTCTGTGGTGACTACCTTTCCTGTTGATTTCTAAAAGTCTGTCAGTGATATTCATAGCACAAGTTTCTCGAGTGTGACGAAAGATCTCCCCTGCATACCAAGAATGAATATAGCTCTAAAGCTTGACACCATCCAAGTCAAAGCAGCTCATACGATTGACACTGTATCCGACAATTTAAGCAATGACTTCCTCCAAGCTATATACTATCCTGGAACTATATCACTGGAGCTTCAATGTTGTTGGATAAAAATACTAGGATTGTAGCAGTTTGAGAAAGCAGTTCACCTTCACAAAAGCAACAAATACTAGCTCAACCAGCAACACCCACATCCAATAAAAGAATATCTAAAATAATTTGCATTGGCTGTCATTTCCTCAATCGGAGATATCATCAACTTTGTCTCCAGGTACTTGGTTTGGTTATGACCTTATTATCCACAATGCTTTTTGTGGTCTGAGTGATAGTTCTGTAACATACTTCTCATTTCAGTGAATTCCTCCATTAGGCATTTTGTCTTCCCATATTTTCTAGTTTGAGTCGGTCAACTTATTTGAATTAAATTCCAGTTACAGTTGTTTAAAAGCTGGTTCTGAACCCTCTTTCTTTGTTTCAGACAAATGGTGTTTAATGTGGTACAATATAGTAAAATATTTTAACTGACTCAGCTGGTGTGTAATTTTATGCTTGCAAATTATTCCTGCTCAATTTTCCTTTGTCAGATGTACCTACTAGAGAAGGTGCAAAACTTGATCAACTCTTGAGAAATAAGACAGGGCAGGTGACTGAGGTGTCAGTGGGGCAGCACTTTGGGTCCAATGACCATAATTCTATTAGTTTTAATAGTGATGGAAAAGGATAGACTGGATCTAAAAGTTAAAGCTTTAAATTTGGAGGAGGGCTAATTTTGACAATATTAGCCAAGAACTTTCAAGAGTTAATTGAGAGCAGATGTTTGCAGGTAAAGGGACAGCTGGAAAATGGGAAGGCCTCAAAACTGAGATAATGAGACCAAATACAGAAGTTGCTGGAAAAGCTCAGCAGGTCTGGCAGCATCTGTAAAGAGAAAATCAGAGTTAATGTTTTGAGTCCAGTGACCCTTCCTCAGAACTGGACCCAAAACCTTAATTCTGATTTCCTCTTCACAGATGTTGCCAGACCTGCTGAGCTTTTCCAGCAATCTGTTTTTGTTCCTGATTTACAGCATCTGCAGTTCTTTCGGTTTTTGAGATAACGAGAGTCCAGAGAGAGTGCATTCC